GAGACACCAGTTTTCACTAGAGAAGCTCTGTTACATTCAGTGCTTTGCCCAAGAGCCAGCTCAGGTAAGCACACCCTGCTTACCCAATTCCTACTATTGTCCAAAACCATTGTGGTGCTGCATTTTAATTTCTTAGACTAAGCCTGTAGGTACAGTTACAGAGGAACTGCACACAGCTGTGCTTCTCTTGCCCTTCTATTTCCTTTTCAGGCACGCTGAAGAGCCCTGAAGAACGATGAACTCGGCACCTTGTAATGCTGAAGCACAGTAGGAGAACAAAGCAGTGCCTTTATTGTCCTTCGCTGAAGACAAGTCTGTAAATCTGTCCAATTTGCTCTCAGCTGTCCCCTCGTTTCCATTTTTGCTGCAGCGCCGACACAAAAAATAGCCAATGCCCTCAGTAAGATCATTTACATGTTAAACTGCTTGGCAAGAGCAGACCTATGGGATGAGGCTAGAGTGGATCTGAGAAAAGGCAACAGAGTGTGAGACAACCTTGTCCAACCAAACTAGGGTTATTTTCTTAACTGCTGTGTAGTAACCAAAGCTGTTTCTTTCAGAAGACAGTAAGGTAATGCCATAAACAGTTCATTTTTAGAGAATGATATTTTTTAATTTATCAAGAGTATTAGCCCTACCATAATCTCATCCCAAAGTGCCTTATAAACTATGAACACTAGAATCAGAAACTGTTTCAATCATAATAAAAACATAGCTATGTCTGGTTTGTGGAAAGTGGAGGTCATTGTAATCAGCTCCCCGTAACACTATGTGAGAAGTAATGTCACATACCAAAGAACACTTTATTTGTTGCAATTTCAATAATTTATAACATCAGTTCTTTAAATTATAATTCAAATTTCTGGCTTACAGACAGTTCCATTTGAGTTGAAAATAACTACTCTTGAAAAATAACACCTAGCTTTCCTTGGCAAGTTAGAAGAGAGTTTATTGTCTCTAAGAAAGATGATAATTTGTTTGCATGAGTTCCATCAAAGCTGTTTAAGGGAACCCTTTTGTAGCCTGTAGCTTGCAAGGAAGAAAACCGATTCAAAGCTTACCCCTCCCCTCCTTGACTTTTTATTTATCTGTTGCAATGTGTTTTCTTTACAAACGTGTATTACCCACTCCCTTTGGTGATTTTCTATAATGGGTGAGCACAAAAAGGTAAGCTCTAGAATTAGTCCCTGCCAGAACTGTTTGAATATAATGGTGATGCACAGGCAGTAACACACATTTTTGCCAGAAGGGGCACAGCTCTGGGGGCTTAGCTCACAAAAAAAGTAATTTATTTTTATAGCACAAGCCACAGGTTTACCCGTGTACCCTAAACCTTTTCTCTTTGACTGTTTGCGCTGCACAGAATTACTCCAGTTTTATTCAGAGGCCTGGACAGCATCAGCTTAAGTTCCTTACCACAAGCAGAAGTTATTTTACCTCTAAAAGTGCAATCATTTGAAGTATCCTATACAACAAACGCAAAGTATTTAACTGGCTAATCAAAGCCTGTTTACAGGCCTTATTAGACACCTCTCTGGTAAAATTTCAGCTGTTGTACCAAATCCTGAGTTTGTTCTTGAGATAAGAAAACCATTCCTATTACCCTGCATACAATGTCACTGGAGCCCATAGTAGCAAATTTAACTCCAGTAATATCAAGTACTGCTGGTAAGTAAAAATGATTATCTACTGCTAATAGCCAGTATGTATACTGTGCACATCTATTATTCTAAAAGAGAAAAAAGTCACCGAGGAAAAATGAACACTAGAAACACGCTGACGTTCAACATGCATTGTGTAGCTAACTCACGAAATTTTCAAGTCATCAAGATTTCCTTAAGTGCTGGTATTACAATTTAAGCACAGAAAACCTTCTGTAACAGCCTATTCTATATATTATCAAAACCAGTGATTCCATAAGTGAAGCTGTAAGCTTTTCTGCAGATGCCCAAGCAGAGTATTTCTACGACCATTGTTCTGCATCCATTCAGGGTCTAGTAGACTGGCAACAGGAATAAAAACATACTGGTGTTATAAAGTGAACCAGATATTACTGAGAGTGCAGATATGAAGATGGTGTGTAGGATAAAAAGAACTATTTTCTAAGAACTGCTTCTTAAAATTACAGCACAATTTCAAGATTTGAGCGATTTTTTTTTCCTTTTTATTAATAGGATTAAATCTAATTGGTGAATTTCTGCAAAAATATTATAGATAAGACTCAAATGATGCAAAGAATCTGTTATACCAGAGGTACCATTAAACTGGTTATCCATAATACAACAGATCTGTTTTGATGCTCTGTTATTACATCTGATGCATTTAAACTTTGCAGTATATGAGCGGATGGTTTGTTCATTCCTGAGCAAGCTTGCCCTTCTGCAGTCATGACATATTAGTCTATTTCAATTTGGATTAGTATATACCGTGTTATCCGCTAGTAGGATATGATGATTTCATATCCCTTGACAGTTCCAGAAAAGTTTAGTATACCACTTTTTCCCTGGTCAGAGAGCTAACAGAACAGAATGTCATAAAAGGAGAAAAATCCTTCTGTACACTACAGAGGAGGAGCCTTATAAGCAAGAAAGGATTTTTAGTATTTGTAGAATTTCTCAATTAAATGCACTTGCCTTTAGGAATCCACACAGCTCAAATGTTATAATGATGGTAGAGACTACTTGCTTTAAAAAAGCATATCCAAAAATATGGAAGTTTTAAGGGAATTTGGTTTTGAAGGTCTTTTTAAAGACTGTCAAAATAAAACAATAATCCTGTTTTAGTGGCTGAACAGACTTTCATACTGCTTTTTCTTTTAGCATAATCCTCACAAAGAACATCATCGATAAACTTTGTCAGCATTAAGAAAAATCGGCTCCTGATAGTACAGAACATGCAGCTAAACAAACTAATGTTAAATTTACTCATGATATTCCAGTATTTCAGCTGCCTTTCACTTATTTGCAACTTTCTGAACAATTTCCCTGGAAACAGACTGAAGTTCTATTGCATTTGTTAAATAAAGATAGATAAACACATTTTCCTGTAAGAGGACAACAAGCCTCAACACTGACCTTTGCTAAATTTTGAAGAAGAAAGTACTATTTAGAAATAAGTTATATATGAGCAAGCTCAGACAGAATGAATTTTTAAAAGAAAAAAAAAAAAAAAAAGGAGACCTTGCCCACTGTACTGCTAAGTATTAGGAAGAAACAGGACATATCACCTTCTTGGGGTATGACCATATAGTTAAGCCTGTTTAATGGGAAGCAGGAAGAGGGATGTACACAACAAGAAATTAAAGAATACCTTCCTTAGAGGAATTTTAAAATTAAGAACAAGAAACAGACATTCATTGCAGTTTATATGCATTTTGCAAATCCTGTGTATTTTTCTAACACAAAACGAGCCAACTGGTTAAGTTCCTGTGTTTCTTCCTTGTTAGGAATATAATGAGATTACAACATGTGATAAAGATGCTGGTGCCAGTCAGTCCTACACTGCAGATAGTGCTCTCCCATAACAAGCTTGGGAAAGGAGGATTTCATGCCACCCTGTTCAGATTTCAGGGAGGAGTATGAAGCAAAGCAATACATGCTGTTCAAATCTTAACAGTACTTAGATAATAAGGATTTTTGTTATTTCTTTCTTGTCAGAAGAAAGATGGTATTTTCATTTCAAGAAACTCTGATAACCAGGTATTTTACCTCACACTTTTTCATGGAGCATTTCCTTCTCGCTTTCCCTATGCTCTGTGAAGACAGTGAATCACTTGCAGTCAGACCTTATTTTGACCCTGCACTTGGGCAGGGCTGCAGCTCTGCTTACGTAGAAAGAAAAGATTTAAACAGCAAGGAAGTCGCAGGTCAGATTCACCATGTTCTAGCAAAGGTCTGCAGAGAAATACTGTGCAAAAAGTGCCTGAGTACACTTGAGCTAAATGTCTCCTTTCCCAAATGCTAACCTGAAAATGCCAGTAAAGTTTCAAAAAAGTATAAATAAAATATATTTATGGTCACATCAGATCTATGCACAGTTTTTGATGCTTGAGGTTATATATTGAAGATAACTTTTACTTCAAACAGAATTGTTAAATATCTTATCTTTGGACTCTACTAACATTTCTAACTTTCTTTAATTTTTTTTTCCTGGTCGGATGAATGATATGCATCTCCTTAGGTCACTGGATTTATTCTAACCTTTTGACATAGAAATCTGAGGGATGCTATACACTTGAGCACATTAAGATGGAGCCATTCCTTAACATTTGGATTTCTGGCAACTAAATCTCAGTCTTAGTGTCTGTTTTACATACATCAGCTACATAGTACACGAAAATAATCCATGCACTTCTGCCCCCCCAACAAATACAATGATAGTCTCTTCATTAATCATTTTAAAATTTCTGTCTCCTTTGTGACTATTTATTTATATCAACTTGTTCTGCAAATTGCAGTGAAGCTTTTGAACACTCCTACTCCAGTCAGAATTTAATTCCTCTAAAGTCTTGACTCCACGTAACAATTTTGGACTGGATCCTGCTGCTGGGTGCATGGGAAATAAAACTTTCAAAACAAAAAATGCTGTTGTGTACACAATAAAATATATTTTCAATGCATTATAATGAAGTTGCTTTAGGAACTGTAGTGGTTTTAATAAAGAGTGAATATAAAGAAAAGCACTGAAGTCAATAAAACTGTTGGAATATGTCAGGATTAGACATGCAGTCAATATATGCAACAAAGCCGAACAGGTATGTCAGAAACACTGTTTAGCTGAAAGTACAGCATACTTAGGGTAGAAGACAAGTAGCCCTCCAATCCCACCAAAAATGAGCAAAGGAAAATAAATGCCTGAAAAGTCCGTTAACTCCATAAGAACACAGCTCACTGAGCAATTTCAAACCATGAAAATAAATATTGTATATGCATATCAAGTAACCTAGCCTGTGTACTTGTAAGTAATCAAACTATAAATGTTTTTCCCTTTTATGATTTAACTTCTTGTTACTGCATTTTGCTTCCTGTTAAGTAATGGAGTCAAATAAACAGTTGTTAGGATCTGGCTTCATGTATTTAAGATAAAATGACAAAAAAAAAAAACCACAAAATGCAGATTCTGAAAATCAAGTTCCCTTGGCCACGACAGATGGCATACAGTATAAAACAGAGGATAGGAACCACCGCCACAGAGGGAGTGGACGTACCGTCAAACAACCCATCAGGCTCTGCTCAAATGGTCTCTGGAAGGCTCTGGGGTCTCCACACCAGTCCAGGAGCTCTGTTGCTGCATTATGGAAGTTTGCAGGGTTCTGTAAGTGCTGGAAAGGGAAGACGAAGCAACATGGTAAATAACATACTTGTGTATGCTGACATAGTCTTTTCTACATCACATTAATTCAAAGTTTGGAAACCAGGAACAGCATATAATTTGGAAGCAAGACCTTAAATTGTACAGTGAACACAGAAAATCCTACTTCGTTCTTATTAATACTTATGCAGATTTTCTGATATGAACTCATTAGTTAGAGGCGAGCCGTAGTGGAAATACCAGAACTCCCCTGAATTCTTTCCTCCATAATATCACCTCTCCCACCTGCAAACCGTAATGGAGTCCACTCTGAAACCAAAACTGACCAAGCCGAAATTGAGGGAAATTTCGGTTTTACATTCAAAGTCTTTGCCTTGGGCTTATGCCCCATTGTCGGGACATGCCAGCACAGCCATGCCTTCCAACAATCAAGATTTTAATCTTTGCCTGTCAGCCAGGAGGCAAACGTGACAGTCTCAGAAAATACCAGTGACAGAGCAAAGTACACTTACTATACTGACCCCTTCTAGGAGTTTTGGTTTCTGTTCATCGTCATGTATCATCACGAGCAATTTGGGTGATCAACTTTGGGATGATGAAAAATGGAAGATTATTTCTTAACTGAAGTGTAGCAGGATACTGTCATGACCAGAAATGTTTTCACATGCACAAGAAGCGCATAGAAATTCCAGAGTGGAATCCTACCTCTCCTGAAGAGGCTGGCACAATTTTGACAGAAAAATCTGGTTTTGCTTTGAAATTTGCATAGGCAATGTAATTTTTTAACTGTTACATTCATCTCTGCCGTTGTACAAAATAACCTGTAGTCCTGTTTTTAGAGGCATTTAGTAAACTTACCTGATACTGTTCCTTCACACTATCATCCCTCACTGTGCTACACTGCCAAAGTATTCCAATATTTTAGCAGGGGCAGAGAGAGGGCACAGGAAAGAAGGAATACATTTTACATGAATAATATTGCTACTAAATTCTCCAGTTCTGGTGGTTCTAGATGTTTCAATGAAAACTCCAGAAACAAGAAGAAAAGAGTGTATTTAGGAATTCTCAGTATCTTTTTAAATAGTAGTTTTATAATTCTTGGGATTGCTGAAAAAAACATGAAAATGAGCTGAGCATTTTATCTGGAAGGCACAAAACCCAAAGGCATAATTTTTAAAATACATCATTATTTTTGAATCCGTTGCATAATTTGGGAAAACATGACTGCTCATTTCTAAGCATCTGGATTAATAATAATTTTCACAGCCTATTTTTTTTTTTGCCCTTATCCCCTTGTGCCTGAGAAGCTGTATATATTAACTCTACAATAAATGAAGGAAAAAAATTCTTCCCATGCCAGGTTTTGAGGAGTTCCCAGTCTGCGAGCTTTTAGATCACATTACTGTAATTCTTGTTCAATGAAGGCTCTTGGTCAGAGGCCTTCTTTTAACAAGAGATGACTGACATGTGGGGCATGGATTTTTAAAACAATAGCAGAATTTGAAAAAGCAGACAGGCATTGTGCAATGCGGTTTTCTTCCTCAGCTCATGCTACCATCCAGTTTGATAGCTTTACCTAGGCTGTATCAGAACAACACTTCTTTGCCACCCAATAATCTAGTTGTTGGAGGAGCCAAACTATTGGGCATATAAATTAAAGAGAAGAATCCAAGTAAATAAATGTAAGAAGCCATGTTTTAAGGCTTCTAGTAAGAAAAACATCCCATGAACAGAGCCAGCAGTTTGGGTAACGAATCTTGTAAGTAAAAGGGAAAAGGATGCCTTTTTGAAGGCTTCATTTAATCCTCCAGAGAAGTGATTGCCTGATACCAAATCTCTCAGTGTATACTGCTCCTTCTGCACGCCACTTTCATCTGCAGGGGAAACAGAAGTTGGTTCAAACCCCTCTACAATAGCACATGCAAGCTCTGCTACTATCAAACATACGATTTCCAGAAGGCAGGTAAGCTGGTGAACAAATCGCACAATACTGAACAGATACTGCACCGGTAGGACACAGGTCACAGATCTCTCAGTTGGGGGAAAAAAAAACCTCAAACCAAAATCCTCTTCCACACAGAAACAACATAAGGAAAAACTCACTGAAAGCTACTCAATTCTGTACTTGAAATAGTCTTTAATAATCTTTCCCTCCTTGTGAAATGAATTTCAATCTGCTGATGAGAAGTCCTAAATAAGAGCTAGATACTATTTATTTTCACCAGTGTTGCCATTTGCCAGCTACACACATGACATCTTCCACTAGCACTTACAATGAAATTTCCCCATTGAGAAACAGAACATTCCCCATTGAATCAGAACAATTTTTATAGGTATGGCTAACAAATGAAAAGCAGAGCAAGACTTTAAGCCATATGCTTCAGTTTATCACCACATAATGCCAGTTTTTACTTACCATGACACCACTGGAAAGCAGTATCCCTTTCCTAGAGTAAAGATTCACCATGTGTTAATTTTGCACCTCCCTGTGGAAGAAAAGACTCCTCCTACCTGCCTGTGTCAAAGCGGGGGTGACCTCAATGACTTGATTTATTTTGTTCTGTAACTCTCCACCAAGTTATTTCATTACATCAGGACTGAGCACTGAGGCACACTATGATAACCCACGTCTTAAATACAGAGAGGGTGCTGAAATCCTGACTTCTTAAATGCAACTACTTAACGGAAACTAGTTTAGAAACTCATCGGGCAAGATAAGCAATTCTCTTAGTTCCATTATAAGGCTAGAAAGCCCCAAACAAACCATAAGAAAAAGTTGTCAGAATATGAGTAGTTTCCATCCCTGTGGAATGGATTTGAGTAGTTTCTGGGACGACAGAAAAGCTGGTCCTGCAGGGACACTTCTAGCCATGTCACATGCAGTTCTGTCTGGAACACATTTTTCACAGCTTTCTGCCTTTTTAATATTTTTAAATCAGATTTTTCTTTTATTGAGATTACAGAGGACAAGGTTACTTTTGTGGAAAACAAAAAGAAGATCCAGCATGAACCAAAGCATGAAGGCAGGTGCAATACCTTCCCTGAGTTACACAAGAAGACATTCCAAATGCCTACTGTGATTTTTTTATTTATTGACAGCTTAAACACTGCACCTGGGACAAAAACCCCCAATGTCATTCACATCCTCACAACAAAAAGCCTGCTTAAGAAGAATATTACATCTACTATATTCATCGAACATGAAATTGAAGAGATGTTCTTAGCTCTCGATCCAAGAACAGAAGCACAAAACAAAGCTTATGCCAGATCCATCTATCAGCTTTGTTGTGAAGCATTTCCCATGCATGGCTCCATCCTCTTCAATTGAAATTATTGGCAGCATTTTGACAGAAGCAAGGCGTGTGCCTGAAGAGTCTAGTCTGAAACTGTGCTTCATGTAAACAATGAAAAAAAAAAAAATCACCTCATTAGTAGATGGTTTAGAAAAAAGTGACAATGAAGCAGATCTTACTATGACACACCTTGGTATATCTTCAAAGCTACTAGTGAAAGGCCACCTAACACCACCATGCCTGCAAGCAACGGTGTTTTCAACAAGTGGAGAGGGGTCGTATGAATAAAATCTGGAGCAGAGATGAACAAAGCCAATGAACTGAATGGATCGGTTCTTTACCAGATTCCTTTCAGTATTATCTGCTTTTTAGAAGGCTATTAGTGAAACATGACAATTTCCATTATTTCAAAACCTAAGAAAATTTTCAGTGTCATAATTTATAACTCCAAAACCCTAATATTTTCTTAGCCTGAATGGAACAGAAATCACAGAAATACTTGATGCATGTGAGTGAATCATTACTGCAGGGATCACCAGGTGGTGCTTTGAAGAAACGGTCTCTCAGAGTCATTTATTTTTGGTCTTGGAAGGAATCTCTGTAGCACTTCAATTAACAGTCTGGTGTAGGGGGATGGAGAAAGCAGCAGAGGACTTTGCTCTCCACTTCACTATCTCCCACAAGAGTGAACTGTACCAGCAAGGCCCCTTTCTGAGGACCAGGCTGACTTTTGGGCTGGATTCCAGGGAAGACAGGAATATCTGTCTGCTGCTTGTGACCACCTCTGGCTTAAATGTTTTATTTACATAAAGAACAGACCATCTTTGTAAATTAGAGTAGTCATATGGGCAGAGGATGCAGGTACACTAGGACACTCAAGTTCATTAGCTTTCACAGCAACTGTCTGTGTGCCTGTTCCAGGGTTTGCTGCTGTGTAGCTGCCTGCGGAGCGGGGGGAAACAACATTCACGTGGGGAGTTACGTAAAACAGCCAACACGTGGCAATTTTTGGTGCAGACATTTCAAAATAGAGCCACTTTTTGAAATTGTTACTCCCTTCCAATTAGGCAGTGATAAAAAAATCTTGCAATAAAACTCTGCAATGGGCCCAAAAGTATAAGCTTCATACCACATATGAATTCAGGCTCCTATGAGTGAAATAGGCATATGTAATAAAGACCTTATTTTTTAAAACTATACTAAAGCACAATGAAGTACTTTCAGTCTACACACCCACACCAAAGTGGGTGCAAACCACTTCCTGCAACCAAAGACTCACTATGATTTTAGAGACAGAAACCAATTATCCACATTGAAGTATGGCAAGGACAACAGCCTTATCTCCTCTAAATATAGAAGACTGCAACCCAGATGTACACTCATGTATCTTAGACAGAACAGTCTAGTAAGTAATGGAAGAATAGCAGTCAAAATTAAGAGCAATTACGGAGGGTTAGAGTTATCTCACACACACATCAAGAAATGTTAACATGACAGCAATGGTATGGAAAGTGAATCATTTAAACATGGAATCCATATGTTCCAGTTTGTTGCTATAGAAAACAAATGTAGAATTTCAATTTACAAATGACATATCCCTGGTGGAGGATTTTTTTTTCTCTCTTTTCTGCGGAACACATCAGACTGAAGGCACAGACCTAATTTGCCACAACTTAACCTATTCAAAATGAGATGTCATGCAAATAAGTTTTTGAGC